CTTTTAGAGTCATTGTCTATATCATTTTGATAACAGAATAACGGAGTTGGAAGAGACCTTGGAGGTCTTCTAGTCCAATTCCATACACAAACAGGAGATTCTATACATTCTGGACAAATGACTGTCTAGTCTCTTCTTTAAAAACCTCCAGTTAATGCAGCACCCACAACTTCTGAAGGCAAGCTGTTCCATTGGTTAATTCTTCTCACTGTCAGGAAATTTCTCCTTAGTTGTTTCTCTCCTTGATTAGCTTCCATCCATTGCTTCTTCTTCTGCCTTCTGCTGTTTCTGGTGGTGGAGATTGCCTGATTATCTCAATAAAAGTATTTATTGATGTGGCATATAATATATTTTGATAAGACTGTAATTAATTAAAATATTTATAACGAAGATTCTTTTCAAGAAAGGAAGCATTACTTAGTTTTCTTTTTAAAAAATCAAATAAGAAAAGTGTGCATCAATCCGCCCCCCTCCAAGTTTATTCACAATATAAATAAATAAACTACCTAAATATAATGAGTTATGTTTCTACCAACAGGCACCACTTTTTCAGTGCCATCATTATTGGGGATTATTAGGCAATAGCCAGGTGTTGTACTCTAGGTTCAGACCCTCTACCAGAAATTAAACATACAGATCCTTTGTACTTGAATGACAATGTACAGCACATTAATTTTTAAGAGATATCTGGGCTCTGGTGCTCAGCAGTTGAAGGAAGGGATATATAGAGGCTATCAGAATGGTATATACAGTCCATTAAGTTTTCAGAACAGGTGTTACATTAGGATAGATCTAAGTTGAATGTGATAAACTTTAATATGGTGTGATAAAGTTTAGATTTAGGAATTACTTCGTAGGAGAAAAGAAGGAGAAAGAAAAAGTTTTGCCCATTCTTCTTTCTACTTTCTGCTACCTAAAAAGCTCTAGAAGAGGGCCAGGGCATTGCCAAAATAGCACAGGAAATGGTATTACAGGTAAAAATTGTCCGTTCTTCCCACAAAATTCCTAAGGAACATTGCCTAAATGTGCTCCCTCACTTTTTCATGAAAATTCTTAGACCTTGCTAATCAAAGGCATACAAGGACTATTCATAGCAGACAGTAATTCCAAGCTACTGCCCATAGTATAATACCAATGCCTTCATTATTTCGTGTGTAACATTTTTATCACATGCTTAGCAAAGAATAAAAATAGTTGCAGGCAAATTCAGTTTTTACTTTCTCTGTCACTCTGGAAGGCTTGTCTCCTAGACAATATTGTGAGGAAAAAAAGCTGAAAAATCATTGTCTCTTTCACCTGGAAACTCTAGCTCTTTTTAAAATGGTAAATTCTGCATAACAGGCCACTGAAAAGTGAGCATTGACAAGTATTAATTAAGAACTTAATCTTTGAATAAATAAAAAAGCAGTGAACACGATTAAATCTGTTCGTGAAATACAGCAGAACATTTGGCTTTAATGAGAAAATGCACTCCTCACTCCAGACCGGTGGGAATTCCATTGCCATGTGTGTTATAAACATTTCTTCTTTCTCCTTGACAGGTAATATTTGAGGCTGAAGTCTCAGATGGAAGAAATGGCTACATTGCCATTGATGACATCCAGGTTCTGAGCTACCCTTGTGGTAAGTAATGATTAAGAGGCACACTTTTCTCTGTCTTTTCTAAGAGAAGCTCAATATTGTCAGACTGGTGTTTTCATTATTCAGCCATTGGTGTCTGGCTGCTACCACTGTTTTTCTATCTTTTTCTTTTCTAACATGTTAGAAAAAGAAAAGGAGAATGTCAAAGTCATAAATGTTATTTTGTTATCACATAATTATTTTAATTCAGTTATTCTCTCCCACTTGACTGTAATGAAAGTGAAATAAAGTGTATCTAATAGTTTTATTGTGAGCTGAATTTTTAAAATTCATGTTACTCCCAATAATAGAAGCAGGTAATAACAATTGACAAATCCTATTTTTGTTGTTTGTTTTGTGTTGTGACAGTTCTGAAAAATGTCTGTTTTCGGATATGGACAGCTGTCTCTCTACTGACAGGTCTTGCAGTTGTTTTATTTGGGGTCATATCTTTGGAAATTCCTGTGACAGAGGATTGGAACCATGGGAAGACCCCCAGGTTGCACTAAGTGCAGTCAGAATAGTCTTGAAGGAGTGACGGAAGAGCTCCTATCAAGGCAGTGGTCAGATAAGTGGGTTTGAAACCAGTCCAAGAAACTAACTTACCATATTTTTCGGACTTTAAGATGTAGCAGTGTATAAGACACATCAAGATTTTGAAGACGTAAGTAAGAAAAAAAGTTGTCCTCCTCAGCCCTCAGGAGCACTCTGTGGGCTTCAGCAAGGCTGGGGGAAGGCAAAAACGGGCTGTTTTTCATCAAAATGGGGGCATTTTTCCCTTCCCCCAGACCTGCTGAAGCCTGCAGAGTGCTTCTGGAGGGGGGGGAGAAGGCAAAAACATCCCCGTTTTGGTGAAAAGTAACCCGGGGGCAGAGCTTCGGGAGGCCAAAAATGCCTGTATTTGGTGTATAAGACGCACCAACATTTCCACACTCTTTTGGGGGGGGGGGAAATGTGTGTCTTATACTCAAAAAATATGGTAAATAAATATCTCAGACAAGCCCCCACTTAGTTCACACAAAGATAAAGTGTGTGTGGGAGGAGAGGAAGTATTCAGATTCTGCTACTATAGCTGTTATAGTGAAAATAGTCCTGACCTATATAGCATTGGGTTTTTTAAGTTTCATATGTCCTGTTGGGCTAACAGGTTGTATGCACCAACAGAGCCAAAGCAACTTCCATCAGCTCTTCCCCAATAAGACCAAGAATTTATTTGTTTGTTTAATTGTTTATAAAATTTATTGGCAGCTCAACTTATATAGCTCACAGTCATAGAAATCAGCAATACTACATTAGCAATAACAATAGCACTTAGATTTATATACCGCTTCAGAGTGCTTTATAGCCTTCTCTAAGTGGTTTATAAAGTCAGCATAGTGCCCCCAACAACCTGGATCCTCATTTTACCGTATCAACTTCAGACGGATAGAAAGCTGAGTCAATCTTAAATCAGTCAGGATCAAACCCTGGCAGGAAATAGAATTAGCCTGCAATACTGCATTCTAACCACTGCTCCACCATGGCTCTTCACTTTGAAACATAAATACATTAAAACCCAAAATTAAACTCTAAGAATACATTGGGAGGGTGGGGGTGGAATGGGGTAGGTGGGACATGATGTTACTCAATCAACCACCTCCACTGTGCTGATGCCCATGAGTCAAATATCTGAGTAATGAGAAGGTGTTAATAATGATAAGTCTTTGATTTAGCGATCAAAATTAGCAAGGTATTTTTTAAAAAATTATTTTTATTTTTTATTACACAGACAACAATGGGAAAGGGAGAGGATGGAAAAAAAGAAAAGAAAAGAAAAAAGGGGGGGGGGGAGGGAAAACCCATCTTCACATATAATATGTCGTTTAATCACAGGTGCATCCCTACTAAGTTTATACATCCCATAT